TATTTAATATAGTTGTAATATTTGTGTCAAGACGAATTAAATATACCGTTATGGATATACACAGTATTCCATATTGAATTAAATATATGGATATACGTCTTGACCTTGAGCCACTAAAAAATTGCTACTGCAACATGAAATAAAGCAAAACTGATACATGCATGTATGCTGATAAAGAAGTGTACCAGGACTTATTTGAAGTAGATATGTCTTGAGATGAGTTGGAAAATCAAATAGAAAATGAACTAAAAGAAAACAGAAAAAAGAAACAAAAAATGAAAACACAAAAAGAAAACATAAATAGTTATATAAGAACACAAAATAATCTCGAACAATCACTCATACACTCTAACACCACATTTGTTTCTACGGGCATGGGTTTGTTGGTTTATCTAATGTAGTTTATATATATTTTAAATTTATGTGCAGTTTGGCATTAAATACGATAACAAATTACACTAGTTCAAAGGATACAAATATATGGCATATTGGTATTTCATAATGAATTATTAGTTTTTCAATAATTAAATAAATTATAACTATTGATTTACATTACTCCATCATACCTTAAGTGTCATGACCAGATAAAGTCCCTGGACATTTTTTGCACGGTGATCAATCAACCTTGGTATATTATATATAAATAAATATATAAATTATTCACTATCAACAGAAATAATGAATTTATCTCACAGAATACAAACAATACATCATAAGCTGTCATAAAAGATGAAAATAATTATTACAATAACGGCTATTCGTACATGTAAATAAACTTAGGCATAAGTATAGAAGAGCATAATTACACGGCCCTTTTAGACGTAAACGAACCGGTCACCGAGATTTAACATGCCGATTCAACTTCAACAAACATTTTTGTAGCAAAAGTAATCCCTTCTTACCTACTTATGGAAGCATTGGTATTTTTTCAATTTCGTGTCGTCACGTCATTGTTAAAAAAGTCTGAGGTCACGCAAATGAAAGTGGTTATAAAGTAGACAGTTCTTGTACATTTAGATCTAACATGCACGCACGCGAATGTAACATACGGTAATAATCATCACAAACACTGGATTTAGTCCCATATGCATCACTTATCAGGGTCACATGTATTCCACATAGTGCACTTAGTAATCGGTACTATTATAACGTCGCAATCAGGTGATTTTTTTTATGATGACGTCATAATCTGAAGTCCGTCAAAACTGGTTATGGACAACTCGCAGTTATACTACCTCTTGTCCTAAGCTTGTCCTTGAGGTATTTCATGTCTTTTACTGCTCTATTCAACCTGACCCTTAAGTTCATGAGTACAATATCTAGACATTCTGCTATATTAAGAGTTGTATTTGCATTGTCGATGTCGTGTTTTACTAAATTATTTAGTAAGAAGTATGAGAGAAAACGAGAAAATTATAATGTAGGAATGTGGGACATAAACATTTCTACACTCCGTTGTAGAATATCAGTAATCCTCAAATATTCCCACGATATACTTTATTTATAAACCTTACGTACATTTGATGATAAAGATGAACAAAGTGTTGAACATGGACTACAGCTCAAAACAAAGAAACTGAAACTGTTTCCTCCTATAAGCTTAGTCTAAAATACCCAACATTAAGTACCACCTAAAACGGTTAATTATAACAATAAGAAAGGTAATTTATTACATTGTGTTTACAGGGGTTACCTAGTTATGTAGTCTGACCTCGTTTGCATACTGACCAGCATCATATTCACGGTCAGTGTGAGTCATGCCGCGGACAACTTCTCCCAATACGACGAGTACGGATTTACGCCCAATTATCCAATGGTCCTAGAGGGTGTTCCCCCTGCTGACAAGGTAGGATAATCGTGTGAACGCTATCAATGTACTTATAATGTATATGGGTGTTGACATTTATGATAGTATGCAACACAGTCCAGTGCAAACATTTTTTAAAGATGTGCTATGAGCTTTCGCGCATCATGGAATACGAATGTAATACAAACACACGTGATGCACCTTTAGGAATTTGGTAATCGATACAGTTAGTCAACACACGGATTTCATATAATCCTACAGCTGCTTCGTCCCTCTAGGAACATATTTGCATGGAACGTTGTTGCATACCATCATTAATTTTCAAACGATACATATTTATCCTTAAACAAAATCGAAACAAATTAACATCAATGAACATCATCTCAATACCCACGATGAACGGTGTAATTATATATGGCTAGTAGCATGTTGGCGAGAGGAGCAATCAGTTTTGTTAAAATAAATGATCATTTCCTCATTTGATGCTTGAAGGAGTACAAATTCGGGTCTATTATAGGTTTTTGACGATCATTATATCATCGGCATATATACATTAGTATTGTCTGATCAGAACGGTACTTTCTCTTCGAGGTTTTGTTCCACTTTTCCAACATACATAATGGTATTTACATAACTGCACCATTGATATAATTATTGTTTTGAAATCTTACCAGATAAATGAAGCAACGGCAAAAAAAATCATTAAGAACCCCATACAAAATGGCGATCTGCATTGTTGTCAAGCGTAACGTCATTACAACCTTATGGAGCGTCCGAAGGTGCGCTGCAAATCCCAACACTTTTCTGTTGTAGCAAATGAAATCTTTGTTTAAAAGATATTTTTCGTACATCATGTACTGTATGACGTTATTACCAAATTGTGACATTTAAACATGCAGTTACAAATGTACATTTTCGTGCGTTGGCAAAATTATTGAGCATGAACAGAATATTCTGAACGTTAAAGTAAATGCCATTAGTATTCGAAGAACAAGTTCAAGTGTGGTGGACCTTTTCGTCGTGGTTGTTAGACTGTCAGTAAGTGATTTTCATCTCGAGATCTGGTGTCCAGCAGCTTTGCTGCGTTTAATTATTCACATATATATCATTGCGGTATATTCGGGTGTTTTCTTACATAGACTGCTCTAACGGAAGCCTCCATCCTAGACGCCCTCCCTGACAAGAGTGCTACCTTCGATGTGATGTTCTTAGCCAAGGTTCTCAGTGGCATGGGGACAAACAAGCTCGGGGACTACGAGGTCAAGTACGTGTACGATCCAACGGCGGAGAAGCTTGTGGACGAGTAAGTACAGCGTTCAATATTTTATTGATTATTACTTGGTAAATCATTAAATGGTATTAACAATATCGCATTTTTGATAAAAAAAGTATTGAATTTCTCTGTTTTAAAAAAAATAAAAAATTGCAAATTATCGTAACTATATATTATAATATTGCATATTTTTCAAAGCAAGATAATAACTTTGGGAAAGAAGATACGGAACTAAAGGAAATGTTTGAAGTGTACAATCCTAAGTACCAGTGTTAAGATAGTGAGATATGTTGTATTTTTGCGTTGACACTTAGGTGTATATATTTTGTTTTAGTGTTCCTGATGCTACGTTATATTTATTTATAAAGGTTCCGGATGGAGATAGAAGACCTGAGCAAGAGGGTGGACATTTCTGCATTTAATGTTTAAACAATGATTTGGTCGATTAAATTAAACGTATTGAGAAACTTTATTTGAAATGTTAAATAAAACTACCCATGAAGCCTTATGTCTATTGATTTACTTAATTTACATAATCATTGAGGTGGGCATTGCCAAAAAACATTTGTCAAAGGACATCCGGGTTGCAATTGATGCGCAGTCTATGCTTGTTTAAACACTCACAATTACTGTTTTGTTCAGGGACATCCGTGATGTTGTTTTTGATAATTTCAACCCAAGCGTATTCTATTGTTATGAAGAATAAAATATATAATTAACGACGTCAACAAACCAGGAAGCACTATGTACTTCAGTATTTACTTGGTTATTGATAAGTTTGATTGAGAACCGGAAAGCAGTGGGTGTGCAGTCTACGGTAATTTAAACCTGAACGATTACTATTGTTAAGTAGAATTAAATGTTAATTCAAATGCGTCAACACACACGGACATCATGAGGTTCGTTTGTTTTGAGTTTAGCGTCTTCACAACAGCCTGTGTCATATAAAGAAGGTTGCTTGGGGAGACACCGCACCAAAGAGAATGTAGTAAAAAAAAACCGCTAAATACGACATGGTGTGCTCTTGAAAGATAACCATTTCCTGAGCCACATGTGGCACCAATCATCATACTTGTTTACTCTAGAGGTGCGTCAGTGATCACCACAGCTCCAATTGTAAAGTTGAAGTTTATTCTCTTCAACCCTTCCCACTATAAGAGTAGACAAACATATACAATAATAGGTATCTGTTCGAACACATAGTTAAAAGAAAATAAAAAGATTGCAAATTTACATTCATATGATATCACGAGACACATTGTGACTTGAAAAAATGTTGATTTCACACAGACTGCAGTATACGAATTGTCGGAGGAAATGTTATATATGTTTTAGTTTTCAATAAAAATATCAATATCAAACAAAATTTTTAAGATTTATCAGGCTCTCCGTCATCAATACTCATCAGGCATAAACCATTGACTTATGATCACATACAGTAACCAATTCCCCTCAGGATCCTATAACCTGTTTACGAGGCGACTGATGTGGGACCAACATACATAATCGATGGTCCTTTTGATAAGGGAACATCGAATATCCAGAGATAACACCTGCTGTATCCCACTGCATGAGTATGGTAACAGGTGACTAATATTGGGGCCCCTGACGGATTGGATTTTTGTCTATGTCTACATGCAATATCTCCCTCGGTGCCCGGGTTCATATTACTCTGGCTGTTTCAAGGACGTCAAACGCTGATATTAAAAATGAAAAAAAGACATGTCCTAGCTGGAAATCAGGAATGTAGAGGAACCAGGATCTGTTTTGTCGTTCATGTCAGCTCAGATTAAATCAGCACCTTATTAACAATTGTTAAAGTACTGCGCAGTGCATAGTATGTATTGAGTAAAAAACTCATATATAAAAGCTTAAACACCTTACGTTTAACCTATTGTTACCAATAGATACGAATACAAATGTAAACAGGAAGACAAAAACCCTATAAAGAAGCACAAATTAGAAGTAATAATCATTTGCGACTTGATCAACAACATGGGGGTAAGCTGAATTTGACTTAATTCTTAGAAAACTAATATAATATTGTTTATGTTATATGTTCCAATATAAAAGATATCGATGATCATACGTGCATGGCAATGTACATTTTATCAGAGTCATACCGTAATAACCGTGATAAATGTTTGAAGATATTTGATTGTTACATTTGATAAGAAAAATGATTCTCAGATGCCTTTATACATGCATCGTTCGATTAGGCAAAGTTCAAAGTTTGTAAAGACAATGTTTATTATAGAAATAAACACATGCTTTGGCGGATTATCAATACGATTTTTCTAAGATACGTTCGTGCTGTCTTGCAGTCCCAACTCAGAAATAAGATTGATAGCTTTGAGAATGAGCTTGCTTCATATAAACCCGTTACGATTCTACTTCTGTGGTAGATGTGCTCTTGTTCATAGAAAAAAAAACAAAAAAAACATCAAAATGGCTGATTAAATTGAATAAGAGATATTACTTAAATATCCATAAAATCTTGTAAATTAACAAGAAAGTCGAACACAGTAAAAATAAAATAATTATTGCAGCATACGAACATGCCGCCCATTCAGGTACAAATAGCCAGAATAATGAAATGCGATATAAAGTTAATGTCCTTATAGGGAAAGCAAGCGCAATAAATTCCACACTCGTGCTATTCTAGTTATAAAGGATGAGCTTTAGTAATAACCTGTGGACTTTACAGAATATTAACATTTCACCCATGTCACTACTACAGATAAACTATAGCCTTAAAGTCCTCTTAACTGTCTCACCACCCTGAGTAAGTTAAATATGTTGGGGCTGTTCATGTTTTTATGATAGCATTATTATAAATATTAAGAGTGATAATCACCTATCCTTGTTTTCATACAGTCGCGGGTCTTTGTCATTTCATTGTATTTATATGAAAAAAATGTAATTTAAAATACAAATGATGCCGATCTCAATAGCTGGAATGCTCAATGATTTTTATCTGGTTTTGTAATGAAAATACTCAGTAACTTCATACAATTCGAGTGTTAATGTTAAACAGGACACTACATGTAGTAATACTGACTTTGATATCCCTCTAAACAAACATTAGCACCGTAGTTTTAAAATATCAATTAACATTATATGCCTCCGTTCTATACATTATCTGTATATGTTTACATGTCTGAAATAATCTTCCATCTACACGGTAATGGCTTTTATTGGAAATGTCTGGCAAAACAATTGTTTGCAGAAACATGTTATAAAAAATATATTTGAAATTGCATAACTCTGGAGTAAAAATTGAAGCAAAAAGGTAAAGGGTTCAATGGAGACACTGTGTACAATGAATAAGCATAATAACTGTTTTGGTTGACAATATTGTTGTGAAATTTGGTGACGGATATATCATAATAAGTACGGCACTATCTATATACTGTTCACTAGTGCGTCGTGAAATCCTGATAAACCTTGTCATACATTTAACATTGGTGACCGTTGATTCTATACATCCACCTTTAAACACGTTCAGTCACGACCGGTAGTAAAATAGGGGCAATCGAAAATGGCTGGAGCCGGTCAAGCTAGTCGGTTTCAAACAATTGGACCTACTTTATGAAGTGTTTTCTAACAAACTGATGACACAAAATAAAAACAGTCCAGCGTTGGCCTTCAGCCGTATCATTCGGCTTATATTATTTATGTTATAGGCGTAAAACATAAGGAACAGAACATGGCGAACAGTTGCTCTCTAAACATCGTTGAGCTAGTTTTAACTTATAACGACGAAAGCTTGTTAGAGAAAGTTTGATTTATTTACCGTGGGACTCATTGTGCTTGCTGCTGGAATGACATTGCTTGCCTCACAAGGACAATAACTCCATTGAGGATACCTCTGACTATTTACCAGGTAGAAATAACGCTGACAGTTTTACTCTTGTTTGTCACGATTTCTTTTCTTTCTTTCTTTCTTCTTGTTTTTAGAAATTTTAACCACCTGATGTTATCTATTGACTAAGTCATTGCATCGAATATAACCAGCTTAGTGTGGCACATATATTTTCAACACTGTTATCAATTCCTTAAGATAATATCATTCGTATAGTCTATTACAGTAGCTTTATATTACAGTCAATGTTTAATAAATGTAAATTCTAACATAGTCATTATCGATATATTAATGTTCTATTGGTTAAGAAGACTATAAACAAATCATTCTAATAACACTTGTAACTCCAAATTTAGTCAAGATAAGCAAGATTTCAAACGTTGTTTTAAATGTAAAAAATCTATATTCTGTTTTGTCCAAACGTTGACAACTTGTAACACTTTAAAAGGTTTCAGAGGTTTATTTCCATTGTGTTGGCCTTAAATTTTTGAATGGTCGAAATAAGACAAAAAACTAAACTAAAAAAACCCAACAACTCATGTATGTATCAGTATTTCAAGACGGCCTTGAAAATCCATAGAAATGAAAAGACGATAATAAGGTGTGAAATAGGGTCAATCGAAAATGGCTGGAGCCGGTCAAACTAGTCGGTTTCAAACAATTGGACCTACTTTATGAAGTTTTTTTCTAACAAACTGATGACACATGGGGGGATGTTGCGGTATCTGTGCTGTAAAATTCAAGTGAGGTGGCACTTTTAATGATACCGTTGGAAGCACGGTCCCACTTCAAACATACCACAACACATCTCCATCACACACGCAGGCATACACACATAGGGAGTTATTTGCCAGGTGACATTGTTTTTCCTTGGTATACCATTAAGTACTACGATCTCTGCACCGATGTAAAACTAAAGCCGTAACGATCACCTGATCTATTTCTTGTCACCTTTACTTCTCTTCATATCAAAAGGCTAGAATTCAAACAGGTGGAATAAAATGGGATACACCTTGCTTTCAGAAAAACGTGATCTATATAATTTACAAAACAGCTGTTAGGTAAAAGAAAGAAAATTGCTAAGAAAACAGGATTTCCAACAAAAGCATAATTATGACGATAAGGTAGAATAATAAATGTTCAATGTTTCTATTAAAACACAATTACTGATCAATATAAAAGAACGAAAAATATTTTAATATTGAGGCATGAAGACATGAATAAGAACATTGTAATGGGAGGTCAAACAACCTTTAGTTTATCTGTATATTACAAACCATACATTTTCTAAAGCCTTTATTTCTTACGAATGACATTTCACTTATTATTTCTCAAAACAATATAGCAGTTCCGATTCAATTACCCACAGATGAAATAATCATATACTTTCAGCATTTAATTTGGCAAGGATTGTTTTTAAAAAGAAGATGAAAAATATTAAGAAACTTTCCTATTAAAGAAATGTTGCTAGGTACAGTTAATAGGAAAGTACACACAACAATATAATATGATATATCATGTTGAAGCACAACGAATTGGTTTCTTGAACATGGCAGTTTATCTTTATGAGATATTGAAATAAAAATAGAATGCAACTATAACCCGTATCTTGTGAGGAAAATCAGTTTTAATTGTAGATTATTAGTCATTAACAAACTTGCTTCAGAATATGAGGATAAACCTTTGACTTTATTTCAAAAAGAAATAGAGCATTAAATTGAAGAGGTATTGCACCTCGTTTGTATGGCCTTGATAATGTGTTTGACGTTAAGAAACCAAGGGAACAAAATGGTAAGTACAATAACGCCGTTTCGATCAAAAGCAATAAAAACCAGTGTTTCGTCACGCTTATCCAAGCTACCACCATGGCATGGAGACATGGGTCAGTAAGATAATTCAGTAACAAGAATTCTGATTGCAGAGCGCTGCATGTGATGTATCATACAATCAATACCTGAAAACACAGTGCTTTTTTACCTGTTGATGATTGTATATGCAGTAGACTATAACATCTGCAAAGGATGTCGATAACGTTTCCAATGGATGCGAGTAAACATAAGAATAACATCCAACAAAGATGATGCACTAGAATGTGTTGTGTATATATCGTGTACAACGTTTAATCCGCTCTTTAGAGACGCTCAACATCATGGGGGTAAGTCATTTTACTTAAGTGCTTTTATTTATATTTGATTGCACCACCCATTGTTTCCCATTGTAATGTTGGTCATTTGGAGACAATGTGTATTAAGGGAATGCTTGCTATGTTTGTAAAGACGTATACATTATCCACATGGTCTGTGTAATGGAACACGTTTACCCCGAAAACATATGTTTTCTTTTACTATAACAAACCTGTGAAGTAACAGGTGTAACTGTTTATGTATTATTGTGTTGTTAATAACATTTTGTATTTCTGTGTTATAGTCGTGCCAGAGTAACGAACTGGTGACAGACAGCTCTCAGGTAGGTAAATAACCGTAATCAGAGACTGTCGATTAAAATACCACTTTTGACACTGGTGTTACTCTCCTAGGTTTGTTATATAAGGACATTAAGCACCATTACTCTTTCGTTTTAATTCACACTGGAATGTGTGTCCCTGCCTCGATTTACAAAAAGTTAAACTGATCAGTCTAACTGTTAATACTGATATATTTATCCTACCTTCGTTATAACCGATAAGAGGATGTTAACGCCCATCAGTATATCAGCAACACTTACTCAGATCAGGAATAGTAATAGAAAACTATTAAAGTCATTATCAACTAATAAAGATAAACCTCAAAGAACCAAACACATCTCTGGAACGCAAAGTCGGTTGAAAAATACCAGAACCAAGACATTTCAGACGGCAATATGTTTATCTATATATATAATTTTTCATTTTCAAAAAATGATTATGATAACTGTTTCCTGGGTTGAAATGTCACATACTAGTCACTCTTGACCAAGCATGTTGTAAAATCTGTCTTTGGTTAAAAACAGTAACTGTTAAACAGCTTCTTGGTTTAATTCATACTCATTCTATTGAAGTTTGAGTACCAGATCGGTGTGAAAACCGGGGACCGCAAGGGGGCGGGTACGGACGCCAACGTAACAGTTGTTCTTCATAACGATGACGGACAGTCAACAGGCCAACTTCATCTGGACAAATTCCTAAAAAATGACTTCGAAAAGGGCAAAAAGGATTGCTTTAAAGCGGTAGCGTCTTTTATGAGCGTGATTGACTTCATAGAAGTATGGCGAGATGATGGTGGATTAAAAGATGAGTGGTTCCTCGTGTCGATGGAAGTGTACTGCAAGTTCTCAAACAAAACCTACGTGTTCCCTTTCTTACGCTGGATAAAAGAGGGTTACCATTACAAGATCCGCCATCTTGACACGTCACTTCCACAACATGACCCTCAAAAGGAACAGCGGCTTATGGAGCTGAACGATAAAAAGTCGACCTACCAGATGACGGTCAGAATTCCAGGGCTCCCGATACAGGTAAATGCTTCTAAATGAAAACATATCCAGGTTATGCCATTGATACACCTGCGATATCCAATTAAGCGCTAATCGCATCCTTTATATTTCATGGTGTTTGCACAATAATCTACGTGAATATACAAAAAATTGTATCGTCGATTGTTGAAATGAAAATCATTTGTTTTTCCTTGGTGTACCATTAAGTACTACGACCTCTGTACCGATGTAAAACTAAAGCCGTAACGATCAACAGATCTATTTCTTGTCACCTTTACTTTTCTTCATATCAAAAGGCTAGAATTCAAACAGGTGGAATAAAATGGGATACAACTTGCTTTCAGAAAAACGTGATCTATATAATTTACAAAACAGCTGTTAGGTAAAAGAAATATAATTGCTAAGAAAACAGGTTTTCCAACAAAGGCAGATTTATGACGTTAAGGTAGAATGATCAATTTTCAATGTTTCTATTAAAACACAATTACTGATCAATTTAAAAAAACGAAAAATATATATATTTAGGCATGAAGACATGAATAAGAACATTGTAATTGGAGGTCAAACAACCTTTAGTTTATCTGTATATTACAAACCATACATTTTCTAAAGTCTTCTTATAAAGGTCTTATTTTTTACGAATGACATTTCACTTATTATTTCTCAAAAGAATATAGTAGTTCCGATTCAATTCCCAACATATGAAATAATCATATACTTTCAGCATTTAATTTAGCAAAGATAGTTTTTAAAAGGAAGATGAAAACTATTAAGAAACTTTCCTATTAATAGGAAAATACGCACAACAATATATTATGATATATCATGTTGAAGCACAACGAATTGGTTTCTAGAACATGGCAGTTTATCTTTATGAGATATTGAAATAAAAATAGAATGCAACTATAACCTGTATCTTGTGATGAAAATCAGTTTGAATTGTAGCTTATTGGTCATTGACAGACTTGCTGCAGAATATGAAGATAAATCTGACTTTTTCTCAAAATGTCAACATCCCGCCTGATTAAGCATTAACAGCGCAAACGCTTTTTTAGCATCTGAGCTATGCAATTTGCATAGCCTATCTGTTCGTTATTCATTTGTCGTTATGTTGTGCAGCAAAAACTGCTGAGACATTTAGTTTAAATCCGATTGACAGATGCATTTTAAGCAAACGGACCGCAATATTTAGGTCTATGGTATCATTCCTTTGATCAATTTTCAGTAGATGATTAAACTTTATTCATACCGTTTTTTAAGCCGTTCGAGTAGCCAATTTACAATGACAGAAAACATCCAGCCCAATCGTACAAACTGGCGTATGATATATATATATATATCCTTACGGACGATTATTATAAATCAGCAAAATCTAGGAGATTCTTCAGATTGTTTATATATATATAGATTATATCATTAGTAAGCATGTTACCGCTTTTGGTCTCAAATGTATCATCTGAGTTAAGGATCCTCGTACTACGGCAAAAAAACCCATTGTTACAACGCTATCAAAACGTTTTACTTGCTTATCTTTTGCTTTGATAAATAAATTCTACGACAAACCTTAAGTCGACCTAACTAACTGGTCAAAGGAAATGTCCTCGTCCAAATGTGCTGAAGATGTATCCAAACGAAATATATGACAACCCTTAAGTGACTCCACGAACGTTATTTCCAGTATCCTTCTGCTAAAGGACATTTAATAGCAGATCGGCACTAACTATTACCAATGTACAGTACAGAAACCTTAGTTCATTCCTATTCGTTTCACGTGTCATAAGTTCGTAACTATGTAGTTAAAAAGAAAAATCATCCTGTATGTAAGTAAGTTTAAGATAAATATTTGCATGTACGAATGCAGAATTGTACGATCCATTAGTCTATCTACAAATGTGATAAAAAAAATCATATGAAATTTTTAGTGCATGTTTGAGCATGCAAACATACATGTACGCTACGCCACTGGTAATTGCGTTGTGGTAGCAGTGTAATTTTACTCGACTGGGAGATATAATTATGAGGAATAAGAGATATGTCTGTTGGTTTAGAGATATAAAGATAAGTGAGACTAAAGATGTGAGTATGTTGCATACGTGCGTATGTGCGTGCGTGTGTATGTGAAATTATATATTGAGTAAAAATGAAATTGAATAGAATAAGAGATGTATTGGGTATTGCGAGTAAGAAGGAGAGTAAATATAAAGTTGTGCATCCCCATTAGTTTAAGACTATAAAAAGGTGATTTTAGAACTGTCAGAGATTATTGTATTTAAACAAATAAGTTAGTGTGCATGAGAATCGTGTAGCAATGCCGTTAGCGTCCAAACTGTCTATCACAACTCAACAAATTCTAGAAATGCAATTAATTGTTGAATTGTATTTAAAAGTACATGCAAACCTTGTGTTTAGGTAGTAGTACCAATTAAACATTCTCTTTCAGGCGAAGGAAGTACCAGAAGATGAAAAGTTTTCCTCTGACTACCAGGTAAGACAAAGATTGACAAAAGTTAGATTGAAATGTAATGTTCATTATGCATCATTATTATATCATGACTTCAATATAATATACGCTGTATTCAGTAAGAGATGGCGACAGAACAATTCTTCAACGAAANAATCCCCCCCCCCCCCCCCCCACAGACTACGCCGACTAGTTTATAAACGGGAATTAGTTTCGTATTTTGAAATAAAACTTTTTTGTTGTTGTTTTAAAATCGTCATATTTTTTATTTCTGTAGCAAGGTGCACATTATAAGCTCACTGTAGGTGAGTGTTAAGACATGAAGAAGATGTAAAAGGAGTTTCCCATATCTTTGATTTCATGTTTTAGAAGATCAGTATAGTGTTTTTTAAAGGATAAAGCATCTTTAGAATATCTGAATATGAATTTAAAAAATTAGGTAAAGCCTTTATCTTAATTGTTTCATAACCCTTGGATACATTTTACTTTACTGAAAACAATAAATAAAACCAGATGAGCTTGAAGGGGTGCACAGTTCGTTCCCATTGAAATACAAACCTTCGGTTGAAATATTTTTCTACCTAGTTCAACAAAACATGTATCGGTCAATAGTCTGATCATCTCGACAATGTCAATCCAAACATACTTACTATTAGTCTCACACAACAACGTGTAAAATAATCTGTGTATGGACTATGTTTAGTTACATTAAGTGTGCAAAATAAGTATAAATTTATACTAAAACTTCGACGATCTCAACAGTCATATCGGCTTTAATAATTTCACTCTTGCTGTCAAGTGAGATATCAAAGGTTAACAAAAAAAATTAACATCATATAAAAGAGAAGTATAATCTGACTGTATAATGTACTAAGGACTCGTGCTGTAATGGTCATTTGAAAGTAAAGCTGAAACAATTCCATTGCAGTTTGATCTGGTGAAACTTGCTGCAGAGATTACAATTAAAGGCGAAATCGTGAAGGTTGTGAGTGGTGACTGGGACAACCTAGATGACCTTGGAAACATCTATAAGTCAGATGTATTTTCCAAGCCTTCGGTATGTACTCATTGATATCTCCTGGTTATATGGAATTCCTATCTAAGTTAATCACAATTATCCATTTTAGAGTTTATACAAAAATATATCGGAGATGTTTTTTCTACACTTTGTAACTTTACATGACTTTTCGAAACATATCAAACTTTAAAAAGTTATTTCGAGATGTATCCCTTTGTATTAATACCTTCAATTCTTTATGATTTCACAGCCTCTGGCGGATGGTATGTGGGATACAGACGAACATTTTGGATTCCAGCGGATTGGTCGGATCAACAATTCACTAATCACACTCTGTACAGAGATTCCAAACAAGTACAGTTATCTTGCTTATGTATTTATTCGATGATTTAAATTTAAAGAAACATGACATAAGCTGTTTATTTTAAAAATTGTATACCATGTTTATATCGGATTCATTTGGTGTAGTTGTCATAATTCTTTACTTCTATTCATTCAAAAAACTAAAAATATTACACAGTGATACACTATAAGCGTTTTCACCCCAGACTTGCTGTGACTGCAGAAATGCTTAAACCCTTCTTAGAAGGCTCCACACTGCCAGACGTCATCTCCAAGAGGAAGCTGTTTTATGTCGATCTCGCCATTGTGGAAGGAATACCCGTAAAAAGTGGATTAACAGTAAGTGTGATGCACATTGAACGAGATGTGCATCGATGCTAGTGATCAACGATTGCCTTATTCTTATTTGAAATGATGGCAGCACAGTTTCTTTATAAATTGTTTTAATAGTTTTTTGAGTTGGATCATGATGAGGATCAGTTTGGTTATATATATCCTCGTGTTCCTGTTGTTATTTATTGTATCTTGTAAAAAAATCCGATTTAAAAGTTCTGTTTTTGACACTGTGGTTAACAATCGTTTGAAATCATTAGCCTTTTTTATATTGATATAGGTTTGTGCCCCGATCGCCTTATTCTACCACAACAAAAAGTCTCGCTTGGTTCCCATAGCGATACAATTGAAGCAGCAGTCCGCGGACGACAATCCAGTGAGAGTCTTATCACAGACAAGTCAAAATCTACATTCGTAATGAAATGAATCACCCAACATAGCTTTAAAAGGATTTCTTTTTTTAAACATAACCACTATAATTATAATGCAACTATGATTGTTTTTCATGACATCCATTGATGACGTCACACAGAATAATCTAAAGTGATGATGAATTTTGACAATGGTAAACCAAATGTCGTTTTCCTTAGTTGTTTATGTTATAAAAGTAAGAACAAATTGTGTTTATCTTGGATGAAAAAAAATAAATATATAAATTGATAGATTCAAAACTCTACTTCATGTGCTATAAGTAGTCTTCACGCTACAATATCAATTATTATTTAAACGTATCACAACACTACATTACGGTCCGTCAACATGATTTCTGTTCTTTTGACACATACTCTTATGAATTTGTCTGACATAATTGTCTTGTGACTTGTTTCACATTAATTTATTTTGTATTATATTTATTAGAGGCATTGTCAAGTTGTGCCTATCCTCGATATCCAGGGGTTACGCTAACTTACGCTCTCTGCACCCCTGGAATATGTCAGGGCAAAATCGAAGGCTCAATGTGCAGCACCTTGTGAATGAGACGAGAAGACTAGTTTAGTCCTTTGATGTACATCAAAAGAATCTCGCGGTCGCGTAACAGTAAAACATGACAGGTTTTGAAGTCAGGGGTTGCTCCTTTATAATCTTCAAAGGACAAGTATCAGCCTAGTGATTAGTCAGGTGTTTTTTTTAACAGACATCAATCAAATAGCTAACCGCGTGCCTTCAATTTTGCAATGACATATTCCAGGGGTGTAGGGTTACGCTAGAGAACGAAAGTGAACGTAACCCCTGGATATAATGAATGAGTTGTGCCTTATTGTACTGCAAGATTCAAGAAAAAGTGTTGTTTTTTTCCAATTTCCAAACATAGCCATAAAATCAGTGTATTATGTGGTCTCCAACCTAGTGAAATGATATGAAGCTTACTAAGATATGGCAAGGTTTAACAATATCCTATTAACACCCAAACCCTAAAATTAACCTGCTGTAAACTTCAAGCACAGGTGCTAGGCTCGTCTAGTTCTTTTTTGTTGAAATATTTGCAGTTTGTGTATTGTGATGATAAACATTCTCCTTTTATATCGATAGGTGTTTCTTCCCTCTGATCCAAAATATACCTGGCTGGCGGCGAAAATGTGGTTTAACCTTGCAGATGCTTCCTATCACGAGTCAAACACTCACTTAGGTAACTCAATGATTATTATCTTACGATATCACACGTAGCATTAAGTCATTAAATGTAATAAACAGGAACATGCTCTTTATGAGACAGTAAATCGAATAATCAATCTAGATTATACAATACTCAATTATTGACTGCTAGGTTATCATTACAATGTTTTTATCAGTGAACACTAAACATATTACACAATGCAATAATGCATATATTCCTGTTTTATGAAAGCAGGTAATTGATAATGACGTTTTTTTAACTCCCTAATTCTAACAAGACACCTTTCTCAAAATTTCTGCTTCGGAACTGGTTGATGGTAATTACAAGATAAAATAATTTTAAATGGCATTAACTGGCTACTTCATAAATCTTATAGTGTAGGAAATTAATAAGCACCTGTTATATATATTTCGTATTTGTTAACAATGAAAAACTACACAGAGATGTATAACACTGGAATAGACAGGTAGGTGTGCAAAACTAATCAGCATAATGTTTGTTATCAGGATTCACTCACCTGTTGATGGAAGGATGTGCTCTGGCCACGCACAGGAACCTTTCTCAATCCCATCCCATCTTCAAATTACTGGCGCCACACTTCCTCTATCTCATCGCCATTAACGGGTAAGTATTCACATTCTGTTGTTCTTCTACACCATTTTTTACGGCTTTGGAAAGCTTGAAAATATCAGTATATCAGTAGTACTTTCAACTCGAGATTCCGATAAAGCCACAACTATTTCGTCGTAAGAAGGTTCCCTATTTGGTATGTTTGTATGAACAAAAAAGTCGGACATAGATTAATACGCCCTCTCACATGGATGTATTGTAACATAAGAGCTATAATTTTGTTATACAATGTGCATGTCACAGACAACTCTATTAGACATATCGGTTTTACCAAAACGTACAAATATGTATCTACGTTGTGTATGATGGCAGAAGTATTTAATTACTAGTATACATCTAAATTTAATTTCCTGGTATCTTCGTAATACTTGAGTTAATATTATCATCAACAGATTAGCACTGACAACCCTGATCGATTCGGATGGCTGGGTTCAAAATACGATGGCAATAGGTATTGATGGCATGTTTGAACTTATCAAAAGAAAGTAAGTATTTCGTAGCATACCCGAAAAATGATGATAATAATAGCCAAAGCATGGCATTATTTAAAGCGATTTTTGGTGTAAAATTGGTGGATGTATTATGATGTCATGTCCGTTTATAAACGAAATTCGACAAGGTTGCCTACATATATTAGATGCTATAGCTTTTATCAAATGTGTCTTGGATATAGTGATATTGTTCCTGGAATTTCTCAGACAAGTACATGTGTATATTTTGCATTAAACCCGAAAGTGAGGCACGGTAGTCTAGTGGTAGGACGTCGGGCTCGTGACCGTAGGCTTGCGGGCTCGAGTCACGTCACGGCACTGTGTTTTATTTTTGAGCAAGATACTTAACTCCGCTTGTTCCATTCTACTCAGCTGTAAATGAGTACGTGGTTGGGCAGTGCTGGAATTGTAGAATGCTAGCTGTGAGCTCCGAATTCGCAGCACCGGCTGTATGTTCCCATGGAAATATTGGCTGGGTGCAAAGGCCCTATAATCACGGATAATAATTTGTGAACCGCTTTGAGACGACCTACGAACTAGGTTATGATTAAGCGGTTTATAAGAACATCGAATTAGTATTATCATTAATATTATAAAGTGAGGCAGATCAAAGAATCCATCATTCAGCCATATTTTATTGACACAGAATAGTGAAAGAGATTGGGCACAAGTTCTTACAACTTACTAGGCCCTCTCCTATAAAAATCTGTATGGGTAAGGAAGGAAGAAGAATAAATGAATAGATACGAGGGGAGGGGACACTCGGGCACCAGTTGAGTTATCTTTATGGTACTATTTGAAAATCCACGAGCGGACAGAATGTGTAAACATATTCCAGTCCCTCTGAATGCCTGCAGTATGAGGGTGTTTTTGGCGGAATGTCTCTATTATTTCTGACGGCGTATTATACTGACTTGGCACAGTGAAGCTAAGTGAGTTGTTGGCAGCAGTTAGGAGTCAGGACACCGGTCATTTGCATGCCTTGCTTGACAAAGGGAACAAACGTTTTCGAAACCTTACAAAATAATTTGGAATTACTGCTTGCGTTCAAAAAAATCATATCATTTATATTTTGCATAAATGTTGATGGTCTATCGATAATGCAACATTGTTGTTAACATGGAACGTGTTTGGTATTGTATGTTTTGTTTGATCTCAGACTGGACACCTGGAGGCTGGATGTCGATGGAACTCTACCTAAGGAACTGGAGACACGAGGGGTACTTGTTTGTGGTGTATCTATCATTGCAAGAAGTGCGAAGTATAAATTAGATAACATAACAGATAGTAAACGTTTAAGTATGGCCATGCAATTAATTGTGTCATAATCAATCTCTATGAAGGTTATCCATGCCATTGAAAACGTTTCAATATATATTTGGTCTGAGATCAGTTAGCGACTTACATTTAAAAAATAATGTCATTACATTTCCAATATACTGCTGATGTAGAAGTGTCCATAAAGCACTGCAATTACAACATTTATTTAAAAGAAATGTGTTTTGATAAATGAATTTGAAAACTCGATAAATATTCGAAATACCTTAACATTAGGTATTGGACCAGGCAGTGCTGAAGGGCTACCACTACAGGGAGGACGCTCTGCCACTGTACAACATTATCAAAAACTACGTCACCAAATACGTCAAACTTTACTACGGTAAACGATAACAATAATAACTATGGTCGTCAGCTTACTTACCATTTATTATTATTTTTTACACATAATTGGTTATTTTAAAATATATATAAAACACAACTTTGTTCAAATACTGTTCCTTTAGTTTTGACATTTGCAACTAATTTGCACTGGACGTGATTTTGCTAAACCTATTATTTAATATTCTCAGAAAGCCCCGCGACATACTCGGGGGATCACGAGATCCAGGCTTGGGCACAGGAGTTGGTTAAGCCGAGGTCAGAGGGTGGTTGTGGCCTGCTGGTACGTGATCTTCCAAATCATTTTATCACCTTTATTGCATTTATTTTCGAGATGATGTACTCACCCGATGACCTTGATTTTGTATTGGATTTTGTGTGGATGTTCGTGATGACTTTTCCTTATTTGGGCATATCATTTTCCTCCGTAAATATTTAGATTTCCTTTATTGATCTTGTGTAGAAGAAATGATACTCATTTACATCTTTACAATTTTGATATTTTCTATTACCAACACATATTATTTTCTTCTATAAGTTGCGACAAAATATATGAAGAAACATTTTTTCTGAACACAGGGTGTCCCAGGAGAAGGAACTATAGCTAACGAGAAAGACCTTGTGTGCATTTTGACGTGCGTTATTTTCACGGGCAGTGTCACTCATGCAGCAGCAAACTTTGCACAATACGACGAATACGGTTTTCCGCCAAACTACCCCATGACTATGAAAGGGAAGCCACCCACCGACAAGGTATTTTGCAGAAGGCATACGTTTTATTTACTTTAAATTTGTAATATTTCTCTGGTAGGTTCTTTAAAATATGAAACGAGAAACCATATGTATTTTCATCATCTTCAGCAACTGTGTGAGCAACATGCTTTAGTACAAAGTAAAGGAATCGCGTGTTCACTGGTACATTTGTACATGTAAAAGCTGAATATATAATAAACAATAAGGCATGAAGTATTGGGTTGCTTTCTGAGTGACGTATCACTCGTGATACATCATATCGTGTAATCTGATGTCATGATTACCACCACTTCAGAGTGCATTGACGGAGTCCTGCATCTTGGAGGCTCTTCCAAACAAGGCTGCGACTTTCGAGATAATAACCATCACTAAACTTCTCAGCACGTACGACACTAACAAGCTTGGGGACTACGAGATGAAATACATTTATGATCCAAAAGCTGAACAAGTTTTGCAACAGTAAGTAGAATTCATTTCAATAATACACTTTCAATATAGAAGATTAAATCTGAGTATGAAAGTACTTTCAAAAACACTGAAAAAGTTAGTATCGGTTCATTTCCGCTGCCGTTGAATCGCGAATTGAAGTACAGCGCTTAAATAACATGCGGATAAGTAATCTCGCTCAGCTAGTATACGACTGTTCATCTATTTCACAATATTCCCGGAGATGACCAATGCAGATTTTAGAATCAGTATTAGAAGACCTTATAGTGTTTTACTTAGCCTGCGCTTCAGTACAAATACTGTAAGTTCTTTACAGTGATACAATAAGTCATGTTTCAACATGGTCACTCAATAACAACACATGCTATCTACGTGGGGTCATTTCATCACATCGCATCGGCGTCTACAGTTTATATATTTAAATGGTATCATAGCCATAAAAACAAAAGGTTAGAGATTTTAGTACCAAATAACTCTTTCCTCGAATGTGTTGATGCGCTCACTTCAGTGAACATACCAGAAAGCACCATTGCACTAAAATTGTTTGTGCTAAAAAGAAAACGCTAGATAGCCGTATAAAGTAGAAGTGGACCAATCCAAAAAAATAAAGGGCATATCTGAGATACGAAAGGATAGCGGATTCGTCCTGCATAACACACCTACACGCACACACACACACACACACACACACACACACACACATATATACATTTATAAGCTACGTCGTAAATAAAAACAATTGAAGAAAACAGATTTTTTAAAAGATTGTACTCAAGTTTTCGGACTTTTGAAAACCATGGTTACCACATCAAATAACGCTAAAACATGCAAAAACAAACAAACAATAAAATTAAAATAAAAAAATAAACACGATTTCACCCCCGGCATATAGATGTTTTGTTATCTATAAATCTGTCTTATCTTAAAAATCACCTACTCAGTAACAGAAATACTACGTTTACTACGGCAAAAGGTCAATCCGGATATTTTACAGTATTTCCACATATGCTGGGTACAGAAATAGACTACACGAAAAGCTATCATACACAGATTTATAAATGGCCATAACTTTACTCTCAAAGAAAATTACTCTCAACTTTTTCTTGAAAAATCACGAAGCCTCTATATAGTACACTTCACCATGTATATGCCAATTGTAGTGTTCTTTTTAATTTTGATTATGTAATATTACAGGGGTAATTTTATTGTACAAAAATGACACAAATGGCCACCGTGCACTTCCCTATACTGCTACCTTACAGTTTGGAAAACATATTATAAATATCAATTTTAAATTCTTTGTGGCTTAAACGTATCTCATTTTCTTAATCGATTTTTTTTCCAGATTTCAGAAAGAGCTCGCCGAACAGAGCAAGCGGGTTCAAGCACTGGAGAAAAAACGTGAATACTCCTTCAAATGGCTAGATCCGGACATCGTTCCAAACGCTATCAGCATATAACTCTAAATAGTGTCAACGTTATCTGATTATACCATGATGTGCGCATTGTCAATATTGTCCGGAAGGGTATTGATTTCGATGTTAACATATAATACAGTTTCTCGAATCGAAGTTATTTATAAATGGCACGAGAAAAAACGGTACATAAAGATCACACCGAATTTAAACTGATCAAACACATTGAAATATATATAACTTGCTAAAAAGGCTTGATATTCAATGCTACAAACCGTTTGGGAAATGGCAAATTTGATTGACATTTGTGTTCGTATCAGGTGTCTATATACACTATGTTTATCATGTATGATTGTTCCAGTAAATGGTTGTTTATTCGGAGACCTGCATATCATACAAATTTCAGAAGTAAACATAACAAATACATACGAGATAAAAAGTATAAAATAAATGAAAATGAGCACTATAGATACATAGATATCAGGAATCCAATTGTTAGTTCCCTTTAGAACATTACAAGAAAAAGAATAATAGTAATTTTATAAATTATAAATGAATTTAACTCAAATTAGAAAACTTTATTGTGAAACTGAATTCCATCCTTAATTAACATAAACCTATATTTTACATAGACTAACAACTGAAATAAGATTGTCCTAATCATGAGCTAATACATGTAATGTATGTATAAGACATATGTTACAGACCTTTTATGACATGTCAGCTATTTTATTAACAAATTTTCCCCCCCTCCAGTTAAAGGGTATTCATAGTTTTGTAGAGCGCTATCCTGTGATCTATCAGAAGTATTAACTTATAATTCAACTATAATTTATCATGATTTCGTTATTTTCGAAAATCAGATTTGTCTTTATACGTATTTTATATTACATGAGTACAACATATATGTTAAAAATATTACTATATATGCATTCAATATTGTGGGATGTTTTTGGTAATCCTTTTTGTACATAAAAACCATATTTATATCGATGTTGATAGTATGTCAATTAGTAACAAAATGTTAAAACTAGCAACAGTTTGGGCCATTATAACAGAGAGTTGGTTGTTTTATCAGGTATATAATAAAGTATATACTTTATGTTGTAAGTTATGTCAATTCTCAACTACACCTGAAATCAGTGTTGCCTTATCGTACAACGGGTCATAAAGAAATGGGGTGAAGTTTTGTTTTGAATAATATATTGACATCGCCGCTTTCTGCGGTCATTTCCCAAACAGAAATATGCATGAGAAAACATTGCTATAATTGATTTTGAGCCCGTCACGTATATACGCATCGATAGAACCCATTATTCTAAACATTCTTGTGAACACAGGTACTTCCAATACGCACTGGAGATGAAAATGAAAATCGTTTGATTTTTGTTTTAGTTTTCGTTTTTCTTTGTCTTGTTCATTGCCTTTGTAAAAGATGTGCATTGATTAGGATGCCTTACAAGTGTCAGCTGTAGGGACTTTCCGATTAACTCAGCGGTAGAGCATTGGGCTGGAGAACCAATGATCGCAGGTTCGAGCCCTAGCGACAACACTATCTTAATAACTATTCCGCGTCCTTCTACAAACTGGTTCCGTTGACCCTCCCCGTTCAAGGTGGGAGAACCCTTGACGGGGAGTCAAAGAACATGGGCTGGTTGTGTTTGAAAAGGGAAGGTGGAAAATAGTGTAAAAGCTGTGTATTGATTAGGTTGCCTTATAACCGTCAGCTGTAGAAAATGTCCCTTTAGCTCAGCGGTAGAGCATCGGGTTTGAGATCTAATGGTCACGGGTTCGAGCCCCATGGCAGCACTATCTTTATCACTATTCTTCGTCCTACTACACCTTTTGTGTCCTATCTGTTTGACGTTGTATCTACACCAATTACTTTTAGCCACTGGTTACACGTTGTGCATCTGCACGGTATCTCACGTTGTCCTTTCCTGTCGACGATGAGTTTCAAAGAGAAACATGTTATATTCGATGGCCCCTGAAATAGAACTTAATCTGTTCACCACAACGTCAACACACACAGACGAATTTGGAACTCTCTGTCGATACAGACAGACACCAGCAGGATATTTAGATATCTTAACCAAATGTAATCTTATACAACTTATTTAGTATTCAATATATGTGATTAAATATTGTTTAAGATGTTACAACATATGCCTAGTATAGTATTAGTATTATTACATTAGATTGGTGGAGATCGCTGATAATTATTTTATGTAAAGAGACGTATACGACGACATACATTAAGGATCTGACATAAGTTCTGGCGAGCTAAAATGAAAAATTCGTGACGAGTTTAATCAATTTGATATGAAATGAAAACGAGTGTAAGATACTTTTTATCACATAATCAAGATTTGTGGCATTTATTCGTGTAAAAAGCCGTCATTTTGACTCCAGTGCGGAAGTCTATGACGTCATGAACTTGTCCTAGGCGTGACGTCACAATTGAAACAATTGAAACTTTCAACCAATCACAGGACTGTTAGGTTATATTACATGAGTTAATACGCAAAAATTATGACATGGGTATATTCACTGGATAGCACAGTACATTATGTGATAATTCTTAATGGTGTCGACCTATCCAATACATTATTAAGTCATAAAATGGCGAGTTGATGGTAGAAATATAAAACAATAGAAGTGTAAGGTTTAAATCTACAAAATTAACGTACGGTAAATTCAGATATACCAATAAATATACAATTATCAGGATAAATTATGTATCGCCTTTAAATGTGCAAATCCTTTAAATTAAATGTTATCAGTTGTGGGAATCTTATATGTCTTTTTGTATAAAGTTAATTCGTCTCCGTTTATGAGTTTTACTAAAAAATCATATATTCAATGTTTTTGTAAATAATGTAAAAAGCAAATTACGATAAATTTATGTTCTTGATTGGTAAAATACAAAAATGTATGTAATGATTGTGCATGTCTTTAGGAAACTGTGACCACGTTTTTGATTAAGAAATGGCTTATTGAATATTATTTTTATTTTAAAGATGTTATTCAATTTAAGATACATACTCATCAAATGATTATTTTTTCTGCTAATAAAACAATTTAACCAACGTACAGTTGTCCTGGTTAATGTTTTTTTTCTTCAATTTACTGAAATAACTGAAAATGTGAGGTTTGGTTTGGTTTGGTATTGTTTAACGTCCTATCAACAGCTATGGTCATTTAAGGACGGCCTCCTCTGTGTGCAAGATTGTGTATAATTAGTATAAAAGAAACGGTAAAACATGGCTACCCTTTTATCCGGTATTCTTTTTGTACTTTAACCAAGGCTGGTAGTGTCAGAACCTCAATAGGAGCTATCGCGCAGCTGAAGGACAGGGATTTTCTCCTTTAAACTAAGCATATTTTTTTGAGACGACAATGAATCATAAAGCACACAAGCTGCCGAATAACAAATTAAAGAATTAGAGAGTTATTTGTTATACTGATGATAAATGATGGCCCCGGGTTATGACGTAAGGTAAAAAGGTCTGCATCAACTTAAATGACACAAAAGATTGTACTCGCGATAAAATAATTGTCCATACTTCGGTGTTCTAAAGAAATCAATAAAATGGGCTAGGACTATAAAAAAACAAATAATCAACAAAACGGCGAATACGGGGAAACACCTTCCGTATACTTACCGTATTAACATTAAATGTATAGCAACTGAGGATCTTTCAGCGTCAAATGATTGTGAGGATTAAAGCATCCACATCAATAAGGCCCAACTGATTGGAAAAAAAGAAGAGTACTCTATACCCTATGAAGGTGTGGATGACGTCTTTTAACAAAACAACAACTGGACATAACAGATTTAAACTTTTACCTGTATCCTAATCGTGTCTTTTCTATGGAACCATGACTACTACATGTACATTGTGCTGATATACTTAACACACTTTCGGATGTCTTTCAAGTCCCAAGCTCTTTGATCTACTATTAACTGTACGTAGCAGGAATCTATCAACAAACTGAATTGTTTATATAATTAATTTCGATGACTTCATCACGAAAATTGTGCACAGACAAAAAAATAATGATATGCATATTCATGACCATCATCGCAATGACAGGTAGGTGAGCCACAAATACCTGCACGGAATAAATCACTTTTTAGACCACTACATTTATGTCTAATTCGTGCTAAAAGAACCGAGAGGTATCGGTTACCGACATTCAAATAGTTCGGTAAAACGCGTGGTACAGGCGATATTTTGATATTGAATGTAGAAATTGACGAGATAGTTTTAACAGAATTATCGAGTCTATTCCATATTTAATGTAGAAGGGATAAAGGATTTCAAAGCGGTTTCCAATACATAATGTATTGGTCAGTAAATTTAAAAAAAAAAACGATAAATATCGAGTAAATAGACTTCAGAACTTGATTCAGCAGAAGATGGTATAAAGAGCACATGTTAAAGAGATCAATTTAATATATATAGTATTTGTCAACAGATAATAGAAATGAAGATGAAAATAGAAGGATTTTCAAATAATAAGAGTGTTCCTAAACTAAATCACACAATCACTGTAAACCAATATGTTACGTTTTCAAACAAGACTGGTTTTTATTCCATTTACTTTTTCTCTGTCTGGGAACAAGGTTTAATATGATCGCATGCTGTAATCACGGATATTTTAGGAGTTGTCTTATTTAAGCAGTTTTGCGCTTTATTATGAATTCGCCAATTTCAGCTCTTCTATATATTGTTTTCTTTTGCATATTATATAAATGAGTCAACTGCATCAATTTATTAAAATTCGATAAATTAGTGTTCGCTAAAAAGGTACGTTTACAGAATTTTAGTTGGACCTCAAATTGTTAAGATGCTTATGGTACAGATAGGAATAAAGGTTTTTATTTTATTTATTTTTATTGTTGTCAAATATTGCTAAAATTCGTAACATACAGCACTAAAAAGTAACGACCATAGGGTATTGTGGTCAAATAAAGTATTATGAGAAATTAGACGTGTGATAGGAGTAGATTTGTTTTGAAGTATTTGGTATAATAGACAGAATTCTATGAAAAAATGATAAAAAACAATAAATATAAATATGAATTTCTGGCCCTGCTATGCTTCGAACCCGTTTGACGAAAACTAGATGTATAGCACACAAATTGTATGAATACATCTCTGTTCACAACCAAATTATAGATAAGGTCTACAAATAAAAGAAAAGGGTTGGAATGCGTCAGTGGCTATTATAGGGATTGCTCCCTATCATTTTGTAAGGTACACAAATTTTGAATTGGTCAACGAAGTAACCACACGACTGAGCCAACTCTATAGTGACAGGGAAAATAGATATAGATAAGCCTATTACCAAGTTATAAATAACGGTGACGTTCTATATACTTCCTGTTACACAACATATTAGGTTAATATCGGCCAAGGGTTTCCGAATGAACGCACGCATTCGACAATCGCCGGGAGGCCCTTTCGAGTATCCGGTTCAACCAGTTAAAACGGTTAACCAAGGAAGAAAACGACAGGCGCAGATCTTCGGCACGTGTAGATCTAGAGGTCCTGACATGCCTTACCGAAACTAAAATGCTGACTATTGCTAGTTTGCGCTATTTCTTTATAAAACAAGGTCAACCCACATATAGATTTGTATAAGATAAGTTATGATATGTCATAAGATATGTTATATAAATTAGTTGATGCGTGAAAGAAGGACAAATTATTTCGATTGAGGGACACATTGTTTTTGGTCCGTTTCTTCTTATTCTTATTATAATTATTCGTTCAATAGCTTCCGCCGTGAATTTGAACGGACGTTTTCTCACAGATGACTGGATTAAACTTAATGAAACTTTGCAAACATATAGATGAGCATGGGGAGAGGTGCAAATGTGGTTTTATATTCCGATCAGATCGTTTCCATAGCAACCACACGGAGGCTTCTGATTGGTCAATTCTAGATATTGATCTATTTTGATGAAAATTGGTACAGTATATAGGGGTATGAGGGGATTGCGATTTCAACCGCATATATTTCATTGCCATGGAAACCACAAAGCAACCAAGCGGAGGCTTCTGATTGGTCGACATTTAGATATTGTTTGATTTTTATAAAAATTGGTATTTAGGGGTATTAGGGGACTGCGAATTCAACCGAATAGGTTTCGTTGCCATAGCAACAATGCGGATGCATCTGATTGGTCGAAAGTTATATATTGTTTGATTTTGATGAAAATTGGTATATAAGGGTATTAGGGGACTGCGAATTCAATCGCATAGGTATCGTTGCCATAGCAACCACATGGAGGCTTCTGATTGGTCGAAATTTAGATATTGTTTGATATTTATAAAAATTAGTATTTATGGGTATAAGGGGACTGCGAATTCAACCGCAAAGGTTTCGCTGCCATAGATACCACGCGGAGGCATCTGTTTGGTCGAAATTCATATATTGTTTGATTTTTATAAAAATTGGTATTTAGGGGTATTTGGGGACTGCGAATTCAACCGCATATGTTTCGTTACCATAGCAACCACAAGGAGGTTTCTGATTGGTCGATATTTAGATATTGTTCGATTCTGATGAAAATTGGTATATATGGGTATTAGGGGAGTGCGAATTCAATCGCATAGGTATTGTTGCCATAGCAACTACACGGACACTTCTGATTGGTCGCAAATTTAGAAATTGTTCGATATCACTCAAATTTAGTATTTATATTGAAAGTGTATTATGGCATTGCGAACCTTTTCTGGTGCATCTTTGCGACTATCGGAGCAGTCTAGGGGACATCTGTAATGGTCCCCCATTACAATTAGTACTTTCTTTTGATATTTTTATTTATCCTCCGAACTGTGAATTTTTATCTCTGCCTACAGCTCGGTGCGAGTGCGTTCGTTTATCATGGAATATTTCTGCGCCACATGAACCGTTTCAACCGGGATATGCGAAAGGGGCCTGTCAAGAGAGATAATTTGGAAACCTTTGGCCGGTATTAACCTTATGTTATGAACTGAGCAGGTCTATCGAAGTATATGGAACGCAATCGTTATTTATAAATTTGTAGTAGGTTTATGTATCTTTATTTTTCGTGATATCGGAGAGTTGACTCAGTCGTGTGGTTACATGTACTTCGTTGACCAAATCAATTTCAATTTCAATAAAATTTATTGTAAAAGGACAAATGGATTGGGCAGCAGGCATAGCCTATTTCAGCCCTCTCCAAACATAGTAACATACAGTGGTAGAAGCATAGACATAGACATTAGAACACATACAAACACATATAAACAAGTTGGTATTATCAAATTAATAATGAAATTAAGGGAAACAACTACTAATACCCATTTTTATTA